CGATGACCCGGCTTGTTGCACAGAAAACAAAGCGGTTTTCCTTTGCTTTCGCTGACAGTGCCAACTTTAGTTGTAGCCATCGGTTTCCCTTTTTCGTCTTTTCCTCTAGCGAGATTCACAATTCCCTGAGCTTCCAAATATTGATCAGCCGTCGTTGCCAACGTGTCCAGGTTATGACATCCTCGCTCCTTCAGGAAGACAGCAAACTTCACGTCGCACCGCCTGAGGAATTGCTCGGACACCATCTTGTCTCGCAGTGCATCATATGTTTTGGGAGTCTTCGCCAGCTCCTGCCAATGGTCGAAGTATCCACAGAGATGTCCCGCGAACTGTCGACCTGTCTCAGTATTCTCGGGCCGGGCATCCCTAAACTTCGTGCGGTATCCCTCCTCTGTATAACGGAACCGCTAAAGGAGCGTCTGCTTGAGCTTTGCGTAGTCCGTAGAGTCTTCTGCAGACATCCGTCCCACCACGGTCAAGGCTTCTCCCGTTAGACACAAGCTCAGTGACAGGGCCCACTTGTCGGTTGGCCAGCCTTGGCTCATGGCAACCCTCTCAAATATCTGGATGTACGCATCCAGTTCGTCCCTACTCTCATTGTAGGGCGGAATCATTTTGTGTGGGCTGCGAAAACTCTGACCACCACCTATACTATCGTCCGCAGAACACGTGCTCGGCCGCTGCGCTTCTGCGACACGACGTCGCTCCTCGAGCAGGAGCCTTTCAGCCTCCATGCGAGCTATTTCACGCTCATGCTCCACCTGTGGTGCTAGCCGTGCCTCCTCTTGATCTTTCGCTCTCTGGTCCCTCATTTCTTTTTCCTCAGCGCTCACCCATGCCAGGAAAGCCTCACCCCTCAGCCCCATCTCCTTCCCTAGCTCAACTAGCTTTCTCTTGTCGTCCATCCTCGTCCGCCACACACAAACAACGTGAGGCTCTCAGATGTAAGGCGAGAGCTTAGTCCTGTCTCGCGGACGCCCGAAATTGTGATGGTTAAGGACGTTCGTCAGTATGTTTGTTGATAGCGGACGAAAAAGGATTAACATCAACAATGGATGCGAACAAAAGAAGCGTTATATTGTACACTAGAGAACGAAGTGGCAGGTGAAAATAAAACTATATGTCCAACCCTACACGCCAAGCATCACGCAACATGTACGAGAGTCAGAACTCTATTATACGGAGAGCTCGCGGCTACGCTTACTCCGAGTCCAGCGCGTATAGTTCTCAGTTCGCAAGAGGAAACCGCTGCCTCACAGTTTGGGTCCCCGTCGTCCCGACATGATGCAGTCGTCGACGTGCGCGAGGGCAAAGGTGGCACGGTTGGAGCGGCTGGAACGGCTGACGGCACACGGATGCGCTACCGTGTGCAGCGCCGTTTAGTCGGACGTCGCGGCCAGCAGTCAGGGTCGCAACTCCTGAGGTTCAGGGTCAGGCCCCGGCTCACGAGGACCACGCCCGGTAGGCCTCGCCCACGAACCTGCTCCCGGCCACTGCACCCAGGCAGGAGCCGTTCAGCAGGCCCCGTCCTTGCACCTTGTACAGGCCGGCGGACTCGACCCCGAACGAACACGCCGGAGCTCGACCTGGCCGACACGTACGGGTCCCACGTCCAGCTCAGGAACGCTCCCAGGAACTCGTCCTCTCGAGCGGCGCACTGCTTCGTCTGCCTTCGTGGCCTCCCCGCTCGAGCTCTCTTCGCACGTTCCTTCTTCTTCTCCTCTTCTTTTTCATTTCTTGTTATCGCCTTCGTGCCAACTGCCCTCCGCTCGTCTTCTTCAGTTTCGGTTTGACGTTCCTCGGCGCTTTTAAGTCTATTTAGCCGCAAATCGTACCGAAACACAGCATTTTTGTGTCCTTTCCTTACAAATATAGCCCTACTCAAGAAAGTTGTTTAGGGGAAAACAACTTTTCACAAGCGCGCGAGGTCGAGTACCCAAAAGCGAAAACATAGCAAAAAAACATTATTTACAGAAGTTCATTCCGTTAGGGAAAGGGTGAATTAACATGAAAAGAAATTGTGCCACCACTAAATGCTAACCAGCGGAGAAGTCAAATGCGGCTGAGGTAGTCGGCACCTATGTTGTCGAAGCCCTTAATGTACTCAACCACAAAGTCATACTCAGTAAGCAATAGGCTCCCTTTCGTGGTATTTCTTGAGAAGGTAATGTGAAAGTGACTTCTCTTTGTTCCGAGATCTATATCGTAGTCATATTCACTGCGTTTTTCAAGCACTGTGAAGGGTCCCTTTCATGTCAAGATCAATTGATTCTTATCTGATGGTAGCAACAGCAATACTTTGTCTCCGGGTGATAGTTGTCGAACTCTTGCTTTCCTATCGTAATATTTCTTCTGTGTCATTTTCGCCTTCAGGAGTTCTTCGTGTGCTACCTTGCAGGTGTCTTGCAGTCGCTCCTGGAGATCTATAACATACTCGTATGTTGTTTTCGTTTCAGGATTGATGTTGGCCCCTGTCCACAGTTCCTTAAGGATCGACATTGGCCCGCGTACAAATCTGCCGTAGAGGAGATCGAACGGCGCGAATCCAAGGCTCGTTTGGGGAACTTCACGGTATGCAAAGAGCAGGGGAGCCAAGTATCTGTCCCAATGTTGCGGCCGTTCTTGACACATGCGGCGAACCATTTGTTTGAGAGTGCCATTAAATCTCTCCACAAGTCCGTTGGCCATGGGGTGATAAGGCGTTGTGAGTAGCTGACGAAATAAAAGTAGCCGACCGAGTTCCTGCATGAGACTCGAGGTGAACGACTTTCCACGGTCTCCAATTGACGGTTTCCAACTAGTCAAATATGGTCGTCATACAGTCATGTTATGCCATACCAATTTTGGCATCGATATCATTATCGAGATTGCCAGGAGACCTAAAAGTCGCGCTAGCTAGGTAGGTGTTTGATGTGTGATGCTTTCTGTCCTTCCCTGTCCTGGTGTGTTGAATTTACAATTACGGTGACGTCAGGATTTTCCTCTATTACAACGTGCCGCATAGACTAGTACAATAACCCATGGAAGGAGCAGGTTGTTGCTACACGTGTTAGATATGTAACTGAATTTTTTTTCTCTGTGAGTTACTGGAGTAAAAATGAAACTCGGCGACTACACGCAAAGTTACTGCCTTACGCTCAGCCAAGACGCTACTTCGTGAAAATCGAAAAATGTGGTCGTGATGGTCCTTGGCCGCTATTCGACGCCAACATCGTGAAGTATATTGTTTTTACCTGAGCATAAATCATGCGGACACAAACAGCTCTCTGGTTCGCGAAAAAACTTCGTGACACGGGAGCAATCGAACAACTAATCCTCGGAAGCCCATAACAACGTAACCAGCGGCCTCATTAAACTGCGAGTGGCGTTGTTTATCGTTGTCACTGCAAGGGTAGTCTGCATATAACATGGCGCACGTTTTTCAGTGAATTCATGGCTTCTTTCGACTCTCCCGAAAGGTAGCGATCGGACGAGTAATCAATCCGATTTGGCACTTAGGCTATCGCACTTTCAAACCACTTTTCACTATAGATCAGTAGCCGAGCTACTGGTATGTTCCTGGTGTATTGGGAGCCTGAGGTTCGGCGCGTGGAATATAATCGCGTAAACGAGACATCGATTGATCTTAACGTCACTGAGCAGGTCCACCACTCACGGACACCCAAGGAAAAGCCGCAGGTGCCGCGGCCATTGATGGATGCTGAATCAAAAAGCTGTGCGTGCACTACGCGTGCTTAGCTGGCAGAGGTGATACGTGTTCGCAGGTTGGAGCAGTGCGCATTGTAAACTTGGCGATGCGACTCCGTTTCGTCCATGCCTTCGCGATGAAATATACAGAGTCATAGAGCTCTTAGCCCGGACTAGCTGCGCTGTTTTAGCATGCTATCTTAATTTGACTTCCAGGCAGAACATAGAAGCCTACCCATGGAAACTTCTCGTCATTGAGAATGAAGAAAAGATCACCCTAGTTTATACGAAGAAAATTTGATTTGATTGATTTGTCGGGTTTAACGTCCCAAAACCACCATATGATTATGAGAGATGCCGTAGTGGAAGGCTCCGGAAATTTTGACCACCTGGGGTTCTTTAACGTGCGCCCAAATCTGAGCACACGGGCCTACGACATTTCCGCCTCCATCGGAAATGCAGCCGCCGCAGCCGGGATTAGAACCCGCGACCTGCGGTTCAGCAGCCGAGTACCTTAGCCATTAGACCACCGCGGCTGGGCACGAAGAAAATTTCAAGACATCAGAATAGGCACCACATTGTAAGAACATCGTTTAAATTCAACAACGTAAAAATATGTATACACGTTCTATCACAACATTCATTTCATATCTTGCATCAATAAAGCACCCAGTAAAGCAATGCAGAAAAAATTGCAATGTGTTGAAATACATACAATAATAGAGAAAGTCGAAGTAATGAAAACGGTCCATCATCATTGAAAGCATATGTCATTGTAAAGTCACTTTTGGGATCATGCAAAGAATGCGAAAAACATACTTGTTTGTTTTCTCGACTAGAGCATTTCTTTGAATGTATTTCGCTATGCTAAGCTTCAGGTATGCATATAAGGAGTATAAACATATTCGCAGGTGCAGAAGCTTCAGAATGACAAAGGTTGTCAGTAGAAACACTCTATCAGAAAGAAAAGAGATAACAGGAATGATTTCTTCAAGCCAAATTCCTACAGCAAAAAATGTTTATGTTGTAGTCATGTCGGTGGATTTTGGGCTTTCTTCATTATGCGGAGTGTCTAATAATAAGAGCCTGCAAAGATACCGAAACCACCTTCACCCTCGCATGAGATCGCTATATGGCACTTTTAATACTACAGAGAAACGCTTAATAAAGATAAACACCAGGGGTTACATAGTTTTTATCGGCTTTTATATACTCGCGGAGCCACCAGTGTCAGTAGCGGCACAAGAAGTTTTGGAAAACGGGCTGAAGTGTTCCACAGGAAGCACACCAAGAGGAATAACAATTACAAAAGCTGTAGGGGAAGCGGCTTTATTGCTGTATTTACTGTTTGTTTTACAAAAAATTGCAAGGGCTAGCATTCTGAAATACTGAAATGGATAGTTAACGAATGCGTATCCCAGCACAATTCGACCCCTCATCCGCACGTCTTGGTATCCGGGTTGTAAGCGCAGCCCACCGCAGCCAGATACCGGTGAGCACAGTCGCCACCCCCTCGGCCGTATTCGTTAGCCTCCTGGTCAGCCGCGCTGTCAGTTCCGCCTGCTTCCTCGCGGCAGTTGCTGATCACTTCGGCGGCATTCCGAGCCTCCTCCGAGTTGCCGCACTCGGTCACAGCGCGGAAGTTGCCTATGCAGTGGAAGTACCTGTCCGAGACAGGGACAAGTAGAAGGCAATGAGTGTTAAAACGTGCAAATCAACAGATCTCGCATATCATGTTATCTGCTTGTCCGCGAGCAGTGGGAACGACGAGAGGCAATGATGTGCAGTTTGTTACCTTGGCGGCACATTTATTCTGGCTTTAGCGGGTTGTTTGATAACTTTCAATAAATGATGTTTCACAATACGTACGCTAATGTTAAACCTGTGTTTTTTTGTGAAAAAAAAAAAAAAGGTTAATGCATCAGATTTCGGCCCATATCTGTTCAGCCTCAGCTGCAGGAATTTCAGTAATATAGACAGCGCTAGTCCTGCTTGGCCAGTCTCTCCTCTGTTGTTTCGCGCGGTGTTTTACTTTGAATATTGACCTCAATTTTACGAGCAGATGGGAGCCCCTGACAATGAGCAGCAAGTGGTTTTTCTTAAGCATATCATGCGTGATAATAATTGTCGGGGCTTAAAGTCAGAAAATGAATATGTAATTAGGAGAAAAGCCGTACCGGAGGGCTCCGGAAATATAGACCCTCCACGTTTCTTTAGAGCGCACTTATCTTAGAGTGCGGGACTCATAATCGTTTATATTTCGACATGCTTATCTGAAAATGTAACTTTAATGTATACCTTGGCCTATGCCTACCACGTCATTGACCGTACAATGTTTAGCTATGCGGATAAGACCACTCAGAAAGTAGATGGTGCCGTGAACAAAAGGACAAAGCCGTTAATAGAAAGATTCTAAACACTAAAAGAATAGCTATGCTATTACAAAATTTCGCATTCCCGATAAAAGAAAAGCACCAGTATGGCTTCGGAGAAACGTTCGTAAAAAAAAGTACATGCAAGAAGAAATTAGAGGTATCTATCTATCTATCTATCTATCTATCTATCTATCTATCTATCTATCTATCTATCTATCTATCTATCTATCTATCTATCTATCTATCTATCTATCTATCTATCTATCTATCTATCTATCTATCTATCTATCTATCTATCTATCTATCTATCTATCTATCTATCTATCTATCTATCTATCTATCTATCTATCTATCTATCTATCTATCTATCTATCTATCTATCTATCTATCTATCTATCTATCTATCTATCTATCTATCTATCTATCTATCTATCTATCTATCTATCTATCTATCTATCTATCTATCTATCTATCTATCTATCTGCCTACATCTGGGTGCTCTCGTCATCACCCGCTTAATTTGGAGTGAACCAAAATTAGTATGGGATGCTAAGTTGGTATGTCGAATTTGACGCCACGCACGTTAAAGAACCCCAGGTGGTCGAAATTACGGAGCCCTCCACTACGGCGTCTCTCATAATCATATAGTGGTTTTGGGACGTTAAACCCCACATATCAATCAATTTGACGCCATGGTCAACTCATAAATAATGTCACAATACCGTCGCGTACGTCGTCAAGCACTTTCCGCCAGGCAGTAGCCCATACCCGCGGGTGGTGTGGGCCACAGGTGATGAAAGCTTAGCATCTATCCCGGAACGACGAGAACACACATGCAAATAATTAATTTCTGGGTCCCAGCAAGAATCGAATCCAAGCATTCTGCGTGGCACTCCAGCATTCTACCGCAGAGCTGCGCCAGGCCTCGGAACTGCTTCTCAAATATACCCTAATGTTAGTGAAACGTCAGTTATGGCATTCTGACCATCTGAATTTATAAAACTTACATATGTACTTTTTGGATGCAGATGTGACGTTAGGTTAACTTCAATTGTATTTGGGTGCTGGACTGGGACTTGATTCATGAAGCAGCGTCCAGGGCTACCATCCTCGCGATCACCAGCTATTCATATCAGCTTATTGCTTCTGGTGTTGTTAGAACTAACGTTCCCGTAGATATCGTTGCGCGAGTGCTAAGTGGTTATATTAACGTAAGCAATTATTCAAAATTTGTCTGTGAGTGCAACATTTATAAATATATTTAGCGTAATTTTATGACCTGTCACTCAATAAGAAAAATGACAGCACGATCTCCTTCTCTCTGCATGCTTCGCCTAACGTCGATTCCCCAGGTACGTGGGGTCTGCCAAATTTTTTTACTGGGAAACGTCCATGCACATAGTAAAACTCTGAATAAAAACCATAACATGACGACTAAGCAACTACTGACTGACTACTTTGATTAAACTTTACGGTCCGCTAGAGCTTCCGTCGGCACGTGAGATCCGCCGTATTGTTTATATGTTTTAGCACTCCTGCTGGCCTACGAACGTCAGTCTAAGCATTAGAAAAACACATAGTATGCATTGCGTTTTGTGGGTAACTTGGTACATAAGTTCATGCGCCAAAAAATACGACTTTTTCAGATTAGAGTTTTTTGGAAATTACGCGAACCCATTAGTGGTGTGTATCATAATTAGTTAAAAATTGCACACATTTGAGCGTTCTGATGCCTTATCATTCATTCTGGAGTTCACGAGTCTGTTATAATTTTTCCTATTCTAACAGCTTTAAACGGATTTGTTAAGCTAAACCAAAAAAGATAGCGCGACCTTTAGTTAAGGTTAGCTTAAAATAGGTTGGTTATGTTCCAATTATGAACACGATTTCAACCATTATTATCTAACATGGAATTCGAATAATTCAGCATTTATGGCATGCATGACCGTGAATGCAGGGAAATTAAATATTAAGGGACGCTGAAATGAAAGGCCAAGTCAGTTCCAGGTGATAAGGTATACCGTGACTATCATTATCTGTATCATCATCATAAGTAGAATAGTAAAAAAAACAGCATAGAAAAAACTTTCATGATCTGAATTGCACGCCGAAATTGCAGTTATCAACTCATATTTTGTGTAACGCATACGATAGCAAAGTGTCTGTTTATTCCTGGGGAAATTAATTGATTTCGCGAGGTGATGTGGGGAGTCATCCGATGGTAGGGAAGGATAGGGCTCTTGCGGGGGGCACTGATGAAAAAATTAGCAAAGCGATCTGCTGGCCGTATCCTCTGAATTAATTAGTTATTTTCGCACATTGTCTCGACAAAGTTTTTGTAGCATTGAACAGTAACTCTGTGGCGGCCTTCAATAACCGTGTAATATAATGAAAGCAAAGAACGACTACGTATAGGGCCTAGCAGTGGCGGTCGAAATTGATTGCACCCGGTCAAGGTATTGCTGGAACGGCATTTTTTTCTCGACGTGGTTACTGGCTTCCCAGGCACCTTTACGCGGCCACAGGGCCGGGGTCTCCGTCCTGTCGTCGATCAGTAATTTTACTACTGCACGCGTATTTGTTTTTCACTTCAGTGTCCATTCAATAATGGCTTATTTCTGGTCAGTGCATCGAGATGCTTTAACAAGCACTGATGTCGCCATACATGCATACGCTTAATCAATCAATCCTACTTTTTACTGTGCTTTCGAATATTTAATTTTAAATTGATCGATTCTATCTTCCCCCTCACTTACACAATGTGTCGAAAGACATAGTTGTCAGTTCAAGTCGCGTAGCTGCACTCACTTGTCGCAGTTGACGCAGTTCGCATCGCTCATGGCGCTGTAGGCTGCCTGGAGCTTTCCCGCGGCACAGCGGCCATCGTAGGGAATGAGGACGGCTGCATTTCTCGTGACACACGCCGCCATACCGAATATGGAGCGACCCTTACGTAATTCCGAGGCCGTCACCGATGACACGACCAGCAGTAGCAGGCAGAAGAGCGTGGGACTTCTCATCTTGGGGGCAATGCTTCAGCGCCGTTCAGGGCTCTTCTCAGTGATGTGAACTCTCTATGCCCACGTCGACTTTATATGCTCCAGCTTGCGCCCCGACTCGAGTTCGGTGGTCGACGCAAGAGGCGCAAGTGATTTGTTTTTTTTTCTTCCGCTTCGCCTGTACATTTAAGATAGAGGGTTTTTCCCCGCAAGATTAGGCCCTCTCGGGAGAGCCGTGTTGCACGGAACGTCAACGTGACGGCATTCAGTGTCGTTCCGCTTTCTTGAACGATTACGCTTGTCGCCTTCTAGTTCAAAGCAAAAAAAAAAAGAGGCATTTATTCTGAGCTGTTTGTTTTCAAGCACGCTATACGAAAAGGACGGCATGTGTTCATATATCCAAAAGAGCATGTCCAGGGGTTTGAGGGACCAAGAATATTTTGTAGTAATTATGAACGGAACTTAACGCATGATACTTAGCAGCAACTGTCTGAATATCTTTCGAGTGAAATGAAAAAAAAAATCTCGTTCGATCCTGAAGAAACTACGGCTTATCCCCAAAATTGTGACAATCAAATGGAGTGCGAAGCAGCTTGCGTGCAAGAACCTGCAATGAATATTTTTTTAAATTTTAGCCGAACGTAATGAGATAAATGGACAAGTTTGTGTGAATTCAGTACTTGTGCGAATATTGTGGGCTTACCGAATTCGAGTAATCACATTTCGAAACGGTAGCTAATGGTCCGATGTAGCGTCGCTACCATGGGTGTAGTCAAGAAGGAGAAGGGTTCCACGCTCCTGTATTTTTTATTTTTTCTTTGCCTCTGCATCAACGCACAGATGCAAACGCATGCATGAACATACATGGTCTTGTTTAAACTCCATCCCCCACCCACCGAAAATTCTGGCTATGTATTTTATTCCTTTATGTATTTATTTAATACATACTGGGGAGACAAGGTCCATGCAGGGTAGACAGAAGACAATCAAAAAGTAAAATATTCTAGTTAGTTGTTACACTCTTTAGCGTGCATTTTTAAGTGACCTACATTATGCAATACAAGTGTGCAAAACAAATGCTACAGTGTGTTAGTTGTTCCAATCATTAATTGTGCGCGAAAAAAAAAAAGAATATTTGAATCGGTCAGTTCGGGTGGAAAAGGAGGCCACTGCTCACGCTGCAGTAAAGACGTCAGTTTTATCACCAAGTGCGCGCTGCGTTGCTATGCTGCACGTGTTTATTAAGCGCGACAATGAACTGTAGCTTGCCCAGTCCGAGGCGCACTCTTTATTTTTATTACTGTGATATAAAATCTGAGGGTTGTTCGACGGGCCTTTGCAGGCACCGGAGATCCGGGATGGAGATGCCGAGGCAGGAGGGAGGGGAACTTAAAGGGGCCCTGCCACAATTTTTGAGCATGTTCAGAAAACGCTGCCGATCGGTGGTAGCGGCTCTCGACAATACGCGAGTCAAATATTATAGCACATCACGTGGCCCGGAATTCACAATCAATTATCAAAGTCAGCTAAAAAAGGCTTTCTCTTCTCTCGGCAAACACGCAATTCACCCAAAAATCACGCGTAGCAAGCCCATCCATCTGCCATTGGCTGATTTGAACATGGCGCGCTCTCTCGTTATAGGGATCGCCGCGAGGGGCCGCAACTTGTCCACGCGTGCATGCGCAATCACGCTAAAAACACCGCGCATTCGAAGAAAAAAAAAAGTGCTCAAGGTTACGGGGCGCGCGTGACGTTTCGCTGCGGCCCTGCAATTCCCCCCCCCCCCCTGCTTAGCTTACAGCGCTTTCGTCGGGACGAGAAAAAAGAGAATGCGATAGCAGTTTGTGACAATCCTTTGTTACTCTGCTCGTGCTGGACGGATTCTCAAAAGTTTTTCGGCATTGAATTCGTGAGGCAATAAGCTCTTCCAGTGAATTCATACCATGGTTGACTTGAGAAAGTGTTTCAGGGCCCCTTTAACAGAGGGTTATTTACATTATGTACATAAAAAGACATATCCGCCCGAAACTCTACATCAAAAAAGCCCTTTGAGAAGCCTACTATGCTTATTATAAACAGTCTCTTTCCCCAGATCCTTAGATTGGGGAATAGGTTCATACAGCCCTGTCCAGCAACATGTCTCAGATCACTCCCGAGAGTCATTATGCCAGCACCACCCCCCAACATTCACCATACGCAACCCAAACACGCGTATGGTTTCGGCGATGCTGTCTCATCCGGTGAATCTTGCTTCCAGCAAACGGGGTGTGATGAGTCAGTCATCTCGCCGCTGGGGCCGACCATCCATGCTATCGAACGGCGGTCGCACGCCAGGCGCCTCTGAAGGCCCGAGCCTGGACATCTGGCGCTGATTTGAGCGTCGGTGGCCAATCAGTCAGAGACACACAGCGTGGTGGTCCGACATCCGTCTTCGGCGGAAACTCAGCGTTGTGGTTTTTCCCGCGGCAGAAATAAGCCACGTGTCTCATTTCCGCGTGGGCCCCAGCGACAGTAGGGCTCCGTCGAGTAATTGCAACCACGCACCGCCCAGTACATGAAAATCGGCAGGGCGTCTTCGGGCTGCTACTTATGGCCTACAAAGTGTGGCGGCTGCCTTTCTTGCCGTCCCGGTGCCCACGGCAAAGGTGGCTCGTTGATCGCAACAGGGCCAACTCTGTGGCCACCACTGTCGATGCATTTATCTAATACTTCTACACGGTCATTTTAGAAGCTTATTCAAGCGTTGAAGCGGACTCTGCAGATGCTTGTGTTGGGTTCAGATTCAAGCCTTTATATTCATTCTTGGCTTCCATCGGCTACAGCACGTACTTCCTTCAGTGACAAAGCCGTCCTGACGCTGCCGAATGAGTTTTCGTAAGCAACAGTTTAGGGAATAATCTATGGCGTGTTGGGTGCAATTTCTAGCACTGGAAAAGCTGGTTTCACCGTCTGTGTGGAGGGCTAAACGGGATGTGCGGCCGTCGTCTACCTCGGTACAACCGACGCCCTGAAAATTGACTTGTACACGATGCCACCTCCTCCATATTCCTGGTTATACCTTAGAAGTTTTCCCGCTTAGGCTGTAGGCTTGAAAACGATTGAAAGAACTGCAATATGCAGTCGTTGTCCTTGAAGTTGTTTTATGCGGTATCACTGTACTCGATGCAGTAGCGCAGGACACAAAGCAGTCCTGTGTCATCCTTCATCTGCATAAGCTTGAAGCTTGTATGTTGACGCTCAGAGAATGTGGGCGGCCATCGGCTACAAGATTTGCGTTCAGTCACCACATCAGCGAGGATGACTTGTGTTTCGGCGGGTATAGTGAATAGAAAAAAGCGCTCACTGAATCTCTCGCCCATGCACGCTAGTTAGCTAAGACGTTTTTATTCCGCGAGCTGGTCCTATTTAGAGCACCTCCATGTCACTCGTGAAATAATATTTCATTCGAAAAGGCGCCACGCCATTCGCGTTATAGGTGTGCTTTTGTCACTGACATTGCTGTAGAATTAAAAATAAAGTGTTGTGCATTAAAGCGTTACGATTCGGTCTCGACAACATGTTCTATCTAGCTTTGCAGCCACTTCGCGCACTGCGATTTCTGAGCCTTGTGTACCGCGCGATTCATAGCGGACCCTTGTTTATCCTCTGTTTATTTGAAAAACTAGTCCAGCGAACGCTATTTTGCAAGATTTTTTGCGTTTAGTGTTGCACGATGCAACGGTTTCACCTCGTGCACTGCTACTTCTAACAAAAATCCCGAAGCCTACAATCTTAAGCTTTGGTCAATGTCCGTTTTGATTTGATATATAGCTTGAAGTCCACTAGAATGATATCGGAGTGGTAGGAGCAGCTTTAATGAACGAATGAATCAATGAATCAATCAACAAATGAATTCTTCAACAAGTGGATCAATGAATGAACAACTGTATTTGTCACTTTTTAAAGGGAAGGAGGCAATGAGACAGGCGATGGTGGGGAGGAACTACTTGAAGTAGACCTTCTCCACGATCTCAAGTCACTCCAGGATGGCCTCCTGAATGCCCAGCCTCGAGCTGCGCAAGGCAGCCTCCCACTGCTCCTCCCAAAAAATTACCAAAAAATTAGGCGTTTTAGAAAAGGAGGAAGAGGGTGCTGAGGGGGGCACCACAAGATATGGTTTAAGTCTGCCGTGGAAAAGGGGCTGAATTCACAAGAAGGAGAAGGGTAACAGAACGAGTTAATGCTGCGTAGAAGGTAAGGGGAAGGAAAGGTGCGAGAGCTGTAGCTGTCACCACCAAATTCCGCACCTTGGCGGGGATTGGTACACAGTGGCGCGAAGGTTTAGCGTTCTCGTCGGAGGTGTGTGCAAACGTCCTGAAACGAAATAGGGCGATCGCCCACTGTAAACAGCGCCTTTTCCGTACCGAGTGCCGACACATCGTACGCGTGCGCCCGCGATGTAAATCCTCGGGCAATGACATGAGGCACCTCGGTTACGGTGAGGTCCCGATACGCGGGTGTCGAGATCGGTGCTGCAATTTGACGGAGTGATGGGCTCCGTATTGGTGCTGCCAATTACTGGAACAGGAATGATTATGCAATATCGGCCATCAACTGTTATATGCAGGTGGCTGTAGCCACCTCCATTCCTGCCTTTTCTTCAGAGCATTCACGTTAAAAAAAAACAAAGCGTGACATGTGCTTTTGTTTACCTTAGCCATGGCCAACAATTCTAGCACTACATCTAGCGAGGGCAAGACATGACGGGACATGAAGCGAGGACATGACAAGACGGGCGCTGTTTTGTCATACACTTCACTGATTTGTCTTCGTTAAATGTGCCGCTAACAACATATTAGGTACGAATGTACCACGAAATAGCCCCTTGACGAGTTTTGATTTGTTAACCAACGAATGCCCGAAAAAAATAGAAAACTCGCGCTGTGCCTTGTGCTGTCACCTAAGAGGACTAGAATGCGAAAGATATCTGCTTTTTACTCTCATTCAAAGTATTCATCCTGCCCTGTCACTCTCCGAAGGCTTTTTGGAGCCAACATGGTCTGGAACTGCGTCCAGGATTGTGGGCACCTCACCTGGTAGCGCACGACCTCCGTGATTGGTATGACGAAAAGCTTAACA